AATCTTCAAAGTTATATCAAACAAAAATTGTTATTTCTAAGAATACAATGAAAGGTTCATTTCAATTTGCTTTTAATCTTGGTGTGAGCATCAATCACATAGATCGGGCGAGAGCAACATTCTGAGAAATGCTATATGAAACAAAATTGTGTAACAACTTCAAAGAAATTGAGAAATACAAATACTGTTGAAGTTTTTAGGATATTAAGTACCATAACATAACATCACGCCTTTTATCCCCGACATTACATTATGCCACTGTACAATGTAACACGCACTTTTCACTATTTATGTTATGCGTCCCATGTAATAGGGGGTGAGCCTATTGCCATATACCGGGCACAATTCCAGACTCCGTGCTACTACTGAGAATATTTAAAAACCCAGTAATAATCAATTACCGATTTTAACTCTTTGAGTACCGTCATTATAGACACAATTAAAGACCAATACCTCTAGGTTGCGGTCACCGGTGTCCTCGCGGTGTTTGACAGTTTAATGCACAATCTTTGAATCGACTTAAGTTTTTAACAGAAACTATATTTTTTAATTTTGGCCGTAAGACCAAGTTGCCGACTATTAAAGTTTTCTTTCTTCTTACAACTTTCTAAAATCATTTTCTCAATAGTAGCACTAGATTGAGAGGGAACTAGATGTCTATCCAATTTACAAAAATACATTTAACTGTTATCTTTTCGGCTACTCACGTAAGTAACTGTTTGACGAAAACTCGACTAGTTTTTTTTTCTTCTCCTCTTATAATATCTTCTGATTCACTTCGTTGCGGGAACCAAGACAGTTATTCATGTCCCTGGGACGCGCCGGACTTCAGTGTTCCGGTGTTTTCATGGTTGTATCTACTGTTGATCCTGGCTTACAAGAGTTACAGCAGTTTTGGGAGGTTGTGGCGGGCTTGTCCCACTAGTTTCAAGCCATGCTAGAGGCTCATATTCATGAGCAGCATTCCGTGACCCGTTACATGAGTAAATATAATAATTAATTCATTAGTTTGTCTCACGAATGTTTTAATATCAAAATACATTTGCTACAAACAACATGACATAGCCAAAAATATCTTCAGTAAGGACTTCATCGCAGACTCGCAATCCAATAATGTTACAAAGAAATCAAATCAAAAATTCTATTACCAAAACAGTTGTCATAATCTCCTTGTTAATCTATCAACAAGTAATTCATTTAATTAAAACTTGTTCAACTGTAAAAGAATAGTCTCAAAAGATCTGATACAACGCTTCGTTGAGCTCTGTAACACGGCGCGATAGTAAATAATAGTCAAGTTTTGACATAAAGCTAGGTTAAACAAGCGGAATTGATGTGTTGATACCATCTGTGTGTACAAGCCTTTCGAAATTTATGTGGTCGAGATATAATCGTGTTGCATTCGTTTTTAAACGTGATGGACTTTGCAAGAGTTGAGCTTAGATAGACTTTTTAAATAAGTTGGGTTTGGTTTTTTTAGGAAATGAGTGGAGTGACGCATTAAAAAAGAATGTTTTTGTTACTTACTTTCGCCTCCGGAATTAATTAATTTTTTGATCTAGTATAGTATTTATAAATGAATCTTTTGCGAAAGACTGTACAAAAAGATTGTATACATTACAAATATTTCTAGCATAATCTAATATCCTTACATGAGTGTCTTTAAGGCATTCACTCAGTAAATAGGTTGCTTATGCGACGATGGAGCACGTCCATCGTAGATCGCATCATCGCTTACCACCAGGTGAGATAGTGGTCAAACGTCGCGTCGGCTCATCAAATATATATAAAAATAAGTTATTTGGAATTATAATTGTAAAAAATGAATTGATTTTTTATCTCCTTTGCCGAAGAAACAGTAAACAACAGTCTCAACTTTATATAACTATTTATACCTCTACCTCTAGTATACAATACAAAAAAAATGTGTGTCAGTAGTAGTCATTGCACAAATTCTCCGCACACTAGAAGCATAATTGTTAAAATTTGACATAACGGCACCTAATGCCTATCAAAAATTAGTGATGGACACCATTCGGCATTCACACAAGTACTGCTGTCGCCGATTACTTTCACAATAGAAAACTATCGATAAGAGTAGATGGGGCTTATTATTTTTCCCACGGTTCGACAGCATTGGCGTGTGCGATGCTCATTATAACATGCTTCCGCAATTAGTGATGGGCTCTGGGCTTTCTCACTGCCCAATGCTCGATAATTTTCTGCCGATAGAGGTAATGTGCGTGCGTTGCAAGATTAACTTTCTTTGTCTGTTGATCTAGTTCCGTCGTCTGTTATATTATCATGATTGTCTTTTGCGTTTTGAGTATTGCTTAGTTTCATATTATTTTTAACTCTAATTATTTTATTTCTCCATTATTCATACTGTTTATATTTAACTCGTCGAGTACCGGTTTTGTAGACACAATTATAGAACAATAGGTTGCGGTCACCGGTGACCGCTTGGTGTTTGACAGTTTAACTAATTCAATTAACAAGTTATAACAAAATGCGTAGATGATTATAACGTGATCTTCCATTTATATGAAGCTGCTGATAATTCGTTTGTAACAATTTAATCTAAATCTAGAATGTTTGTGCCTAACAGATGTCTACGCATGCCCTAAATTAATTATTGTTTAGTACCAGGCTGCACATGTTGGAAATACCATTATGTTTTTTACTAAAAATTGTACATACATTGTGGTCTCTTTGTCTTTCTTGTAATTCTTATTGTTAGCATTAAGTTTTAGCTTTTTAAAATACTTCCAAAAAAGTTAAATTATAACAGTTATCAAATTACCATAATGTCACAGCACGCCGCACCTATAATTAGGGTCAACAAAGATATATCTGCATCTGCAATTTGATTAACGTCGCATTTATAGTTTTACAGTAATTGTGTTTTTTAGGACTAAACTATAGTTCAAATTTGTAACTAAAATGAAAAAAGACTAAAAATAAAATGAGATTCCACCCGGGCATTAAATCTTGTAGTATAGTAGTCGTCATACGAATACCCGAGCAACAAGACAGTACGAACAGAGTCGCCGCTAATAGCAGCCTTTCTCTCATTAACTGAAACAAAAAACAAATTGATAAACTTCCCCGGTTTTGTCTGGTAAGGAATTCATAAGGGCAACGAACACCATTAAGTATTTTAACTTTAATGCCATCTTCCAAGTTAAATCTTTCTTTGAAAATGGCTGCGGTCAGACGGTATTCACTTTACTGCAAACCACAAAAGCCACAATATGGATGAAGCCACTGCTCTTATACTTTATAATGGTGAAGTTTCCATGTAAAAGAAAAAACTTAAAAGCTTTACTTCATCATGGAACTAAAGAGAAATAATTCGCATGTAATCATAATTGGTGTTCACCAAGGAGCTATTGTGGGGCCACTGCATTTTTATATTTTTTTGTTTATTCAAATCGAACTTGATTTTCATTGCTCCTAACCTACTAAAGTGATATTAATTTTGAAGAAAACTTTGTCTTCAAGTAATACCTACGCTAACAACAATATTTTATAGTCAGATGTTAGTTTAAAATAACATATTAATGTTCCTTATTACCTAATTTAAAGTTTAGTTCGCAACAAAATTTACAAAACTCACAAAAAAGTAGTCCCCGACTTTGTAATAAAATCCCAAGACACAATGTTGCCTCCATAACTATTGTTTTTTTAGAAATAAACTGATCCAGTTTAATTAATGAGATACGACAACTATTGGCTTAGCTGAACCACTTTTAATTAGGACCCCTCTAAGCCGATTGGGAATCGCCATCGACTATCGCTCGAATCGATTTTTTATTTTATCATCTCTGTTTTGTTGAACGTCCAAACTTGTTTTGTTTGATCTCGATTTCAATTTATTGATTGTGCTTAACTTCGTTAATCAAGCAATTGCGAAAATGAATTCTATGTAATAATAGGTTCTGTTCGATTTTTGGATCTAGCCAAGGACTATTGAATTGTTCACGCTACAATTCTTCTTAACTTAAAATGTTTCTTAACTTTGTTTCAAGACTTCTTACTAAAACACACATACAGACGTAATTTCGATCACTGGACGAAGCGGTCCTTATTGATACATGAAATATCATAAATCATTACATTAGTATCATCTGTTTTATTGTCTGTCTGTCAGTCTTATCTCTTTTTATTTAGATTTATTGAAACTTGATTTAATTATCTTCTCTTGTAAAATAAAACTCGTTTTTACAACACAAAGAATTATTCTCCCAAATTGAAACAGTGAATTTAATTAATTTCGATTCTGGGCCTGATCGACTAAGGAATCACGTTATTAATCTCGGCTGGTTGGTACCCAATACCTTCTCTCATTATCTAATTTAATGCAACAATGACTGGCTCTTAATTTCATTACCACCCACGGCTCAGAAGTGGTTGCGAGCAGTGAACGTCCATCTACCCAACAATGGAGTATTGTCCACCGATGGAAACAAATTAGGACGATGACGTAGTAGAAATTTTGTACGTGAACATTTTGATGTACCGGTTAATTGGGATAAATTACAGTTGTATAAAATCGAACGACCGCAAACGACCAAAATCTCCCTGTGATGTCAAAGGTGGTTTTTAATACCCTAATTCATTACTTTTGCGTCTCTGGAATAATTATCTACATACAAATTATTCTTAGGTCCTAAATGGGATTTTATCAAATACGAAAACAAAAGTAGAACCTTCAGACCGTGAAATTTTACATTAATCGTAATACAAGAGAAAAGAAATTAAAATCTGATTGGGCATAAAATTGTTCATTTTTCGATTTTGTAGATAACTATTATGTGAACACTTGACAGGGTGTCGCCGCCGCGGGCGTGACGAAGGAGCAGGCGCACGCGCAGGTAGACCCTTCGGAAAGAAGGAGACGGGAACATCATATCTCTCGTTCGCACCACGTGGAGGGGGCGGCCGGGCGCGGGCGTAAGCTTACTGCCTGTGCCACATTCTATTTAGTTTATAACCGTTCTTTGGTGCCGGAGCACCGTCGGTTCGGGTGCTAATTTGATATCTGTTTGTCAATAGTGTTTCGATAGGAAAAACAACAGATGAGTGCGCACGAGTATTGGATTTTACAAACTTATTGATGTGTTGGCGCCAGCCGCCTCAGCCATGGCGCGGAAAATGCTCAAAGCATTGGCTCTGCTGTTAGCTGTTGGGTACTGCAGCTTATTACTATCCCAGCTTACGCATCCTTTAAAAATTGTGGAAATTCGACCAGTACCGGATCGGATAGTGTCTAACTTATTATCAAACTTCACATATAAAGAATCACCAGATGATACGAGCATAGAAGACAGTGTAAATAAAAACATAAGTTTAGAAGACATTTTTATAAGTGTAAAAACATCAAGACATTATCAGGCTTCACGGTTACCTGTCATTTTGAAAACATGGTTCCAGTTGGCGAAAGAACAGGTAGGAATTGAAAACCTTGTTTGAGAAAGTAGAAATAGAACATCATCAGCATATCATCTACAAGATACAGATGTTTTTGTTTGTAGTATTGATAACATTAACCGTAGCTTTGTAAATACTGTTCTTAATGAATTTATTATTGAAGCCGTCCTTAATGAGGATACAATCTCAATAATGTATGGATGCTAATGATGTTTGAATAGAAAGGATAATTACAATTACTAATAAGATCACTCAAACAATAACGGACAGTAGCAATCTAAACATACTTGACTATTCATATTGGGTATGAACATCTGGCGATTATAAATGTTTTGATATTACTTTGAGACATAATAAATGTCGTTGTTGATAAAATTCAATCTGTTAGTCAAAACGTTTAGAAACGAATGTCTTTAGAATCAAAGAATGATATATACATCTATAGATTTCAATAAAGGGTCACACAATCGTGTTTATACTTACGCAACATACATATGTATACCTTCAACAATTTTTATAAACATACCTTTCCACGAAACGCATCAGATGCGAGCCCACCAGAATTTTTACTAGTTTTACGACTCAAAATGTTGACTCAAATGACCCTTTACAATTTGATTGATAATTTGGGCGACATTATTGCTTAGAAGAATATAAATTTACGTCGGTATCACTATTTTATACAGAAATCCAATAATAATAAAACACAAGGCTATAAAGGAGCAACCCGCAGAGTTAAGTTTCAATACTGTGGTGATAAATCATTGATAAATGCACCAGAAATGTTCCCAGCGGGACCCGCTTGTTCATAAATGTAAATATTACCATGTAGTTTCGGAATTAGGAAAGAATGTCTTGATTCCATTTCTTATTCAACCTTCATTTGTCCAAATTGCCTTGGAATTGAACGAAGAAAACCCGTTCGTTGCCGTTTATTTCAAATTGCTATCGAATTAAACCGAATGCTTCCATAGTATATGGGTGATCAGATGCCGAAACAACGCTATTATGCAAATATTTTTGTGAAACTATTAATCTTGTTATTCAAGTCACAGAACATGTTTTTATGCCATTGAATAGTATGTAAAGATATTCCGATTTAATGACATCGACATTCAAAACTTTTAATACCAATTTTGTGAACACAAAAGACACTTGTTCTTCAAGATTAAATCTTTGGGTCATAATGTTGGATTCATTGATCGGATCGACATTGCGCTGGCTATCCAATGCAATGTAGTAATGTAGTTTAATTTTATTTCATTGTTATGAAACAACAAATAAATAAATAAAATAAATGAATTTCACTTTTATTGTAAGCTTTTTTCAAAACTTGACAATTGGAAAACGACAAATTCATTTCTGTATAATGTAGTAACTTATTCGAAACTAATATATCGCAGCAAAAACAATAGACAGAATTCGTGCAGCGACCATTTAGCTAGCATTTCCTGAATCTGGAGCGTGCATAATGAACCGTTAATCCGGCATTGCGCGGGCGCAGGAGCGGCGCCATTGTGGGTCCGCGCGTGGCACGGCGCGCGCGCAACACGTGACGTGATTGTGTACTTGATTTTGCCCTTTTGTGGTAACTCTTGGACGTACGTTCCTGATTTATAAACGAATCGGTTGCGTTTTATTATGCGTTGTTGCAAACTGGTTCTATATTGTTCATTTTCTCTTTTGTTGATTTATGAGGATTTAGACCCAGTTCATTTTTTATGGGCTATGAGATAAAAATAAAACGCCTTGTTTGAGCTGAATTTCTTAATTTTGTTCTTGGATTTGTCAATTATCATACATATGTACATACATACATAGCATCACGCCTTTTATCCCCGAAGGGGTAGGCAGAGGTGTAAGTACATTAGTGGCACTGTATAATGTAACACCCACTTTTCACTATTTATGTTATGAGTCCCATGTGATAGGGGGTGAACCTATTGCCATATACCGGGCACAATTCCAGACTCCGTGCTTACTACTGGGAATTTTATGAAAAACCCCGTAATACTTTGCCCGACCCGGGAATCGAACCCGAGACCCCTTGCCCGGCAGTCGCACTTGCGACCACTCGGCCAATGAGGCAGTCAATTATAATTACTGGTTTTATCGTTAATAGTTTTAATTTTTCCTGTCTGATTCTTAAACGTTACATGGGTTTACATCACACTGACATTGGTTTGAAACCAATAAACACAACATAACATAGGCCAGGTATATTCAGTTTCATGAGCCAATAGAGCTTAATTAAACGTCATGGCTACTAAAACCATGTTCAAGATTATTCTGGCATGATTAAAAGGTAGGTAGAAAATGTTCGGACGAAAAATACTTGAACTTCCCATCTGCAGTTCACAGAAGTCAACTAAAGGAAATTAAAACTAATTAGACGAGGCGAGAAGTGAGCAAATTACGACCACTTGCGAACTGGTAGCACTTCAGGTTACTTAATTGTATAATGCAAGTCCCCATTCGAACAGCTCTGCAAGAATCTAGGACCTCTAGTATTTCCTCTTTCCTGACCTCTAATATTTTGCAACTGTCAAAACAATAAATATATAAAAACGAAAAAAGAATCAATTATGACTTGTGAAAGTCGTTTTTCTGAAAGTTTTGTTATAAATATGAGAAATTATGGAACTTGATCAATGTTTTAAACAATCTTGACGTAATTTCCTGTTTCTCTAAATTGTGCACAATATTATGCACAGGTTTTTAAGAAATTGCGATTGTTTTAACAAATAGTAATTGTGGCGACAGATAAGAGATCAATTAGGTGAAACTTTACAAACCCAATTTTACAACATCACTTAGGTAGACATAAAATTGAAGAAAACTAATCAACAACCTTACTTTTGATAAGTGATACTTAGAAGACGTAACTATTTATTTAATTTCGTTAAGTACATATAAATAAATAAATTACAAAATAAAAAAGAAACAATGAACTTTATTGAATGTAAACACCGATTGCTTGCAATAGATTTTACCCCAAACAGGACACAATGATTTGTGCACGTCCGCTGGCAAGGCGAGTGCAATCGTTCTGATTCATCTTCAAGGGGGATTTTATCTCACATTCAGAGCATTGCTACTCAAACTCGAATAGTTTCCTTCCGAAGATTTTATGAAACTATTTTATGATCTGATCTACGAATTTTATGCATTTTCAATACTTCTGACGTTTTGTATTCAACAACGTTTGATCGGTTCAATCATTTCCTTGTTGAACGAGGATTAATAGTTGCACTAGCAATAGCAAGAAGTTTTCACGAATCTCACCTAAATTTTAAGCAACCCTTAAGTTAAGATAGGTGACATTTATCAATATTTTATTATCACCAACCTATATGATACACCTAAGAGTATATAAGTGAGGGATTACTTTGATTGCTACGTCAAAATTAAGTTAAAATTTGGTTTAGGGATGATTGAAAACCGGACAATGAATTTCAAAAATGTTTAATAAGTAATGGACCTGAATTTGGGTCCATTGCGTAACACTGATTTAAATTGTCGTGTGTCTAAACGTGGATCCACGCGAGATACAATGTATTTTTTATTGTGTCTCATAATTATACATTTAAGCGCTTAATAAAATTAAAGTAAAACTGCTTTTAAAACTGTCAAACACCAAGCGGTCACCGGTGACCGCAACCTATTGTTCTATAATTGTGTCTATAATGACGGTACTCGACGAGTTAATATGCCTTCATAAATCGCTTTATTTTGGTTTGATCGAACTGTACAAATCAAATCTCCGGATGTTTAATTATAATAATATTCTGCATTACAATGTACTGGCATGAATTAGTTAACAATACCAATTGTCTGATTGTATGTCACATCAACGTGGTACTTAGTAGTCGAATAACATTATCTACGTCTTCTCCCTGTTAGAGTATATCGATCGTTCCATCGGGTTCAGAGAGTGAGGGAACAGAGTGTGCACCTGTATTTTTTTTTAATGGGGGAAAATCATCGAACGACTTGTCCCACCTGGGTGAAGCGGGAGGGAGTGTCAGACTCTTACTTACTGACTAAAAACCACCCTGTTCCTACTCCTGCACTTCGGGCCGGAGCCCCGGTAACCCGTTAAGTTTTCCACAGCGTGCACCTGTATTTGCGCACACATTATTGCACTATAATATCTCCTGCATCTTGGGCTAGTTTAGTTATACTTGCTTTCTGTTGATTTCAATCTAATTTCTATCTTCAGTATTAACATCGCTAATTTCATTATAAGAATCAACGTCACCATTATATTACGAATTTTTATTTTAAAAAGCCTAATAATAATATACCGGATGAAACATAACCCAAAACTCAGCATTTGCAATCCCTCAACAAACTAAGCAACCGTTATCACAAGTTTATTTAAACTTAAAGTTTGCTTAACGACACTAATTTTCGCAGAAACTATTCTGAACTCTAACACCTTATGAAATAAAGTCGAAGATGTTTATGAAAGGACTACCTGAATGTGCTGTCGTGTCTTTGGAATGCTTATCAGTGATATGCTTATGTGTTCCAAGAAGAACGACGGATGTATTATGGGTACTTGTATTACAGGTGATAAGATACTAGACCCACACAGAGCATTGTATTTCTACTCAAAGTCAAAGACAAATAAAAAAAAGCAAAAAGACCAAAAAGGTAATTTTGAAAATATCATTCTGTTAATGCTCAGCTCCCATTAATCCTATAGTTCTAAATATAATTTTCCCCCTTAAAAAGAATATCGAACAAGAAACTCCATAGTTGCTTCCTTGGTCCTTTTAGAGTTACCTAGTACCATATACTCATTACTGTATTCCTAAGGAATTTATAATTTGCAACAGACAAGTACAGTTCTTATAATATCTATCGTGAGACATACTAAATTAATTAAAAATCGCGGGTTACTCACGTGAATATACTGACAAAAGCTTTACTAGTTTCGAGCCAGTAGAGCTTTTCTCGATATACATATATTAACGTGAGTATGTACACCACGATTTTTAGTTAGTTTAGACTAGTATAGAACCCAAAATCTGCTACAAACATTCACAACCGATTCTTCGAACCAAAAAGACCAAAAGAGACATCAGAATACCTAGGAAACATATTACCTCATAGTTTGAGAACAAATTACGGTTAATCAGACATTTCCTTGGGTTTACCCCACCAGCAGATAAGAACAGTCGAGTAGAACAGGTTGTGAACTTAGATTGCCAGACCACCCAGCCCATGTTTTCTTAGTAATTAGTATGTGCTGATCGTAATATGTAGCAGGAAGGATTATGGGATGGTACAGAAGGTAGTCTATTTAGGTATAAAAGACTTGAAATAAGTTTTCCAATCTACGGTCATAATGCATAAAAATGTAACGAGGATAAGAAGACTATACAAAATATATACAATACGGATTAAACTATATATCGATCGTAATTCACACGTTCATGTAATTGCCGCATTTCTGTGGAAGTAATATTGTGAAATATTGTATAATAAACAATTTTTATTTTATTATTTATTTATTTACTATAAACGAAAATGTTTCTGGTTAAGAAACTCTGCTGAGCTCAATGCTCTCAAAGGACAGAACCGTACCCATATTATTATGACCAGAGGTTTGGAATATAATGAAAGTTAAAGAAGTAACAACGAGTACCTACCTACGGTTTTACGCGCTAAGCTCGGCGCCTAATGATCATAGGGTGATGTTTTATAGCTTATATAGCCTTTCTCGATAAATTGACTCAAATCGTACCATTAGTTCCTGAGGTTAGCGCGTTCAAACAAACAAACTCTTCAACTTTATGTTTAAGATTGGAGTTAATAGCCTTTTTTTTTAGTTTTCGCCTACAAAGATGTAACAAAGATGTTTTTAAATTGTTCACATGTTCAATATAATCTAATCACAGTAGGTAGGTAGACATAATATCTATGTTAGCTGTATTTCTTTCTCTCTATATGAACATGACGTGTAGGCAGAATCATTTCTCACCGCCTACGCAGATAGTATTAACCTATTGGCCCCAGTTGACTCCTATAAATTGCACGCTATGACAAAGATCTTTTATTTTATATGTAGTTAGTTTTTTATTCTTTCACTAGTCTTTGCTTGAGACTTCTTTCCTTCATAAGAGAAAACTATAAGACGATTCTGTCGAAATAGCCTGCAAACTCCGGTCACATTGGTTGTTTATTTCTATCGCTTAATGATAACAATTTACGAACTTCCATCACCTAACTCTAAAATTCAAAATCCTGCAAATAGGACAAACACTAGATGGTAGTGTTTGTTATTATATTATAGGTAAAAGTGCCGAGCGGTCGCAAGTATGACTGTCGGGCAATGGGTCTCGGGTTCCATTGTCGGATCGGGCAAAGTATTGCTGGGTTCTTTTAGAAAATTCTCAGTAGTAGAACTGAGGCTGGAATTGTGCCCGGTATATGGCGGTAGGCTCATCCCTCATAACATGGTACTCATAACATAAGTAGCGAAAAGTGGTGTTACATTGTACAGTGGCTATGTGCACCTTCGCCTACGCCTTAGGGGATACAAGGCGTGATGATGTTATCTTATATGTAAAAGCATCGTAGATTTCATAGATTCTATAATTACCTATATCCGGAATTAGTAAGCTGTTTTGATAATGCCCGTGGTGATTGTGACTGTAATAATTTTTTAGGAATATAAAAATGAAGAACATCAAGCCTTTTAAACATCAAGTTTATGAAGCCTTTTGGAAACAAAAGTGATATTTGTTCTTTCTTTCTTTCTACGTCATGAACACATATCTGATTTCAACAAAACAATCTCTAGTACCGTCCCTTTGTTGAGTTACGCATGTACCGTCTGAAGATATTAACTACAGATGCTACTAAAGTAAGCTACAAAACTCTATGCTCAATATACCTTCGACTTTATTTTAAGACTATAAAAGTCGAAATTATTTTAAAGAAAGATTGGAGTAGTTTGATGTGCTGGTAGTCTTATAACAGCTGAACATTGTGGGGATCTAAATATAGCCTGCGTCGTGAGCTGGTTGTGGCAAGCGACTACTCATTTACATTGTGTGTCGTACAGTTTTATATCGATCTATATAACTCCTTTGACAAATATGGCGCTCAGGCAGTAGGCGAAAGAATGAAAAAGTCTATGAATGAGATATTTTGAGTGAGGCGAGAAAAAGGCTCTTACTAAGTGTCACCAAAACATTTCTTTTTCCTGCTTCGAGCTGGAACTCCGATAACCCTTTCAGTCGTCCGCACTCTGGTCAGGCATCATCCCTCCTGGGCCCCATCAGGGGTGGTCTGATTGCTCTTTGATGAGCTTGACATTAGTGCTTCTGTTCACTTCTTCGACTAGTATAAGTCATTGGTCTTGAAAGGCAAGACTAACTCTTCTTCCAAGTGGTCACAACTACAAACAAGTCTGATGAATTTAAGGGGTCTCAGTTTCAGGGCAGGTTCAGTATAATTCAACAAAAAAATTGAATACAATCCGGAAGCTTAATTCTTTTTTCCCCAAATCGCTAAACGTCGAATCTCTGATCCATAAAACGCCGGCAACGCATTTGTAACTCTTTTGGTGTTATGAGTGTCGATTTGCAGTGCCAATTGCTTACCACCAGGTGACCCGTCTGCTGGTTTGCCGGTTCATTCCATAAAAAAAAAAGAATTAAATGTGGCAATGTATAAAATTTATCAAATTTCGTTCTTACATCTTTTGATTAGGGTCTTATTTGGAAGGTATATTGTTATGTTATGTTATGTTATGAAAAAGAACACCTAAACACCTCTTGATGGTGGTCCTTTAAAGTAGAAATTCGCAGAACGATGAATACGAATTCGTATCTTTAGCTCCTAAGTAAACTTTCATTGTTGACATTTGAATTTCAATCTTATGTTGACACAACAGATACGTTTAAAATATTTTCTGGTATTTATTTAGGTGTTAAGAAAATAAAATATGGTTGACAGAGCAAAGCTTAAGGCTTTATCAACTTTTATTTTACCTAACTCTTAACAGTGTACTTCACTGGGTTCGTTTCTGGGGTTGACAAATTGTTACTGTTTGTTTAATATCAGATAAAGTTATTATAATAGACAATCTGCAATAAAAAGCAACATATGAATAAAATACACCTTGGTTCCTGATCAATAAAATACATTTTCGTTTGTTTCAGACATGGTTCTTCACAGACGTAGACAATCCATTACATCAAAATCAAACAAGTAAGTCGAAACTTCAATGGATCTGAATTGTAACCAAACAACTAACTATAACACTGCAATGCGTAATTCATACCTTATACCAATGTAATAGGATTTATTTTTCCACAGATGGCCACATGATAAACACGCACTGCCCGTCCTATCATCAGCCTAAACATTTATGCTGTAAAACGTCTATAGAATACGACCATTTCCTTGACAGTGGAAAGAAGTGAGTGTCCATTTTCATTTTAATCCTTATTTCGTAAGTCATAAGAGCTAACTTGGCGATTGCAAATTTCAAGAATTATTGTATGTTTTTGTATAAGATTTTCTCTCTTATTCTTTAGAGGATAAGGGTTATATTTGAAGGTTTGTCGGCGATATATTATTCGTGGACATTTTTGATAGTTTGACATGATAAGCTTGTTTGTTTGAGTTTGTTTTCTTAGTAGACGCGAAACTTGAGATACTGACCAAGTAATTTTACTTTAAACGATAATATCAGCTTTTTATTAGCTAGAGAGGTATACAGAAAATAAAATTGCAAATATTATTAATCATTAACTAGCATCCCGCTTCGGCTTCGCATGGGTGCAATATGCAAGTATTATACATAATAAACGCTCCATAAGAGTCATATATTAAAATAAACCGCGTCAAAATCCGTTGCATATTTTAAAAAATCTAAACATATACCGTAGGGACAAACGGCGGATAGCGACTTTGTATTATACTGGGTAGTGATGTAACACTCATTTTTCACTTGTACTAAATATGAGTCCTATGTAAGTAGACCTATTGCTGGACATACATTCCTAAATTCGATATAGTTTCTAGTGGTGAACTGAATATTGTTCAAAAATCAGTCCAATACTTTTTTTTTGTTTTATGAGTTCACACAGTCAGACGCAAAAGAAGACGTCTATTGATAAAAATACTAGCATCCACCAGTGGCTTCGCACGCATACCCGTGGTATAAAAAAGCAATGTTCAAGTTTCAAGTTTAAGATCGTAATTGTTAGTTAGATAGTTTGCAACGCACCTGTGACTCCTTTGGTGTTGCGGGTGTCCATAGGCGGCGCTGATCGCTTACCATCAGGTGATCCGTCTGCTCGTTTGCCTCCTATTCCATAAAAAAATCTACCTCAGTTCCAAAATTCATTCCGTTCCCTTCAACCATTTTGATGTGATTCAGCAACAAATAGAGGTATATACACAAAATCACTTAAACTCCCCAGTTACCTATGATATAAAGTGAGATGCAGGGATGACCTTTAAAATCAGATTGTTTTGAGCTCTAAACTCATTTATTAAGCCTTTAAACTTCACCAGACTTTGCCTGGGGGTTTCACAGAACACAAGGCGTTTATCATACACGTATTCCTATAATTATGGTGTGCTATCCCATCACTCAATCTCCATACAACGACACATACGAGCAATTATAACGCAATCAAAAGAAACTATGTTAGGCCGTTTGTTCTAGGAATTCGAAGAATGATGGATGCGAATTAATTACATCTGTAATTATCGTTATGTTTTTGATAGAGTAATGTATGATGTTTGATTCCTTCGATCATGTTGTGGAGGGAATAAGATACAGTCACTATATGAAAATTACTGATTTTGCATCCGCACCAATACTTATATGCTGATGCACCTTTGACGTTAAACTATTTCGCAAGTTGTTGTTTGTTAAAGAAATTGTAAGAATGACCATTATATTATCGTACTTCGAATTGGAATCATCATTCATAGGGTTGATTTTGTATTAATTATTCAGTACGTAATTAAATTCAGTTAAAATCATTTTGATTTTTTTTTGGTCCTCCGATTGGGCGATTGCAGTAATTAGGGTTATCAAAATTTTTACTCTAAAGTGAAGTCTAAGGTTAGTTTTCTTACGTATGGCTTATGATATGAATGGTAAAAATGATGGGTTTTAGATGTAATTGCAATTTGTAAAACTAAAAACTCCCTTACATTAATCAGATATATAAATCATCCTTCTAAAACTGAATTCGAGTTTGAGTTCGAGTACGCGTTCGGCGCTGTGATTGGCCGGCTCTAATGAACCAACCAATCAGAGCACACAACGCCATCTCGTTTCGATTACTTTAAACTAAAAAGAAACTCGGACAAAGGCCTTAGGTTATTTTCCAACCCCGGCCTTCTATACTCAACACTTATGACCGTCGGTCGGCAGTTCCTAGTAAATATTTTCGCTTTAATTCACTCAACAGTTAAACAACGGAAGTTTTTCACTACTAATAGCGCAAATAGAAAACAAAAAACGATTAACTTGTCAAACAAAACACTGAATTTTAAAATCATTCAATATTTTTCTAATAAAACGGGCTTAGTTCAAAGTTTTTCTAAACCGCACAGTCAATCAGAACTCAGTAGTGAGTTAGTTTTTGTTGTCAGTAAAAACAAAACGCTCTTAACTTCTGTTTTTAGAAGCACCGCAGTTTGTTTAAATATTGGAAAACAAACTTTAGTTCCACAGGTTTAATGACCATATTATACTTTACAACTTTGCGTTTGAAAATTTTAAATAACTCACCAATTTTCATATTTGAGGTTCTCTAAGTAATAGAGAATTATTTGCCAAAATTTAGAATTTATTCTAAAACTTATTGTCTTCGCCAAATCAGAGTGTAAGATCTGCATGCATATACTACGCCCCTTCAGGCGTCAACAAACGTACTATTACAAATAGTAACTCATCAAATAAGTACCCTAGTTTACTCTCAAGGGATTCTAGAGTATGAAAAATGTTCGCAACGTCGCATAACGTCTGACTGCACTGCTAAAGAATATTTTTACAGAGAACATGAAGCAATTTTGAAAGCAGATTAAAATTCCTCCCGTTTACAACCTCTCAAATAGGGAGTGTATTTTTTTCTCCAGTCCATATCAGAAGTAGACAACACTTGTAAAAACAATCCGCATAACAGAGACTTTTTCAAATTTGTTTATCCACGTATGAAGTACTTCACTTAGAGTGTGTCAAAGGCTTTTTAATCAGTAGACAACAGCCTAACCAACGAAGCTCAACGCTCAAACACAAATATCTAACGTTAATGGTTTTTGAAGAGCTTGTTCAATATTATTTTGGGCTCACAACAATTTTCACGCGTTTACTCAGAACCGACTAATGTTTTTGTTGAAACTTCTTCGTTTACTTCCCACAGTTGTGTTTTCAAGTGCAACCCTGAACGCATTAGTATCATATTTCAATAAATGTTATGGATCATCCATGTTGTTTCTTGACCTTTCTCCTCACGATGATTTACGATCTAGTAGCTGAGTCATTATTCCAAAAATATTGTCGTATATGAATATCAATACTTTTATATAAATTATTTCCTCTGTTGACCTCTCAAAACGTGGCAACGTAATCCCAATTTATATTCAGGTACAAATTAAATCATCAGCAAAAAGTTTACCACAATCATTTATTATTTATTCCGAATTTGGTATCATATTCAAATTACGTTTGAATGCCTTGAACGGTTTCTGTTAAGCCCTATACAAATATAGCAAGTAATTGAACGTTTCCGGTCGAAATAAACATTTTAATGGGTATAATCGATGTTGAATGAAGCCATTAATTAGACGCCGCCTAACAATCTTTCTGGCTCGAATTGTGATACTTGATTCCTGGCGTCAGCTATTGTTACAAGGTTTTGTAACGTATCGCTTAAGTCTCGTTACTTGTGCCCATTAATTTTCTTTGCCTACGCATCAATTTGTCTATAAAACTGATTCTGGGCGCAATAAACGTCCGATGCGGTGATCTTTTGTAGGCATTTCTTGCGAGACAAATGAAATGGGCTGAATGTACCCCGTAACAGTCGCAAGGTCAAAGAGGTCGTTTGATTTTATGTCGAGGAATACTGTGACACGTAGTAGATTTGTTGTAATTGCGCGAAGCGTTTCCTGTACTATATTTTGTTTACTCGGAGTAGGTAAGCATTGGCTAGAATATCTTCAATTTGTAAAAAAGGTTTCTTATAATACAGCTATTAGTTCCTTTAAAAGTACTACTTTTCATCTATTGTGTTCCTAATGTTTAATCTACAACATTAACGCATACGTCTTTCTAGGGAATTAAACAGGTTTTTACTTTAAATAACAGGAACAAGGTACTAAAACATCAATATATATGAGCGGTTTGGAATCGAGCAGCTCTTTTATTGGTCCCAGGTGGACTGTAATAGGATTATCGAACGTTACCAGTGTGAGCTTCATTGGATACGTCAAGCGGTGGATTGCTACCAACGAAATTGGTAACCACGGTGGGACCTTTTGTCGGTTGCGTAAACGGAATTTGCGATGATATATTGTTTTGGAAAATCAGATTTGACGTCATTTTACTCAAAATGGAGAAATTTAAAGACTAGATAAATATAAATTCTTTAGTCAACCCTAGAATAGAAGCCACGGAGGACTTACTGGGTTGCCGGGGCTCCGGGTCAAAGGGCAGGAGTAGGAACGGGGTGGTTTTTAGTCAGTAACAGTATGACACTCCCTCCCGCCTCACACAGGCGGGAGAAGTCATTCGATGATTTTCCCCCCTTAAAAAAACCCTAGAATAAAAGCAATTGACCATTTGACACACAATTAGGTACAAAATTCACCTTTAGTGTCTCTAAGATACAATTATTTAGCTATCTCTAAGATAAATTTAAATGAAAATACTAAAACTACAATTCCATAAATAATAATTTGACGTTACACAAAAAGCAATTATACAACATTGAAAATTAGATATAAAGTTATATACTAGCCAGCAATTATGGACGGATATGTAAAATACAAGTAATAAAGCAGTAAGTAATACGCTCGGGTCTTGCTAGTCTAATAACATACTTAAAGCTTAGGTCTGTAGTATAATAAATAGTCTTGATCTGCAATTAAACAGCTGTCTTGCAAGAAATACACGTCGACCGATCCAATTTCGCAAATGCAAACACGATATTCAAGAAACCCGATACAGATTATAAGTTGGCGAGTGGCGGCCATTTGTCGTACGCCATACTGCAATATGTGGTCACGGATTGCGTATACGCAGCTCCTGTTATTTGCCGCCGAGCGTAATGTCAGTAAATTATACCGCAACGCTAATTATTGCCACCCGGGGCAAAATTCTTGTTCGTACGACTTTATAAACACCCTGTACTTGCAATTATTTCCTTCAATAACTTTGAATGCAGCTGGTTAATTCGCGTTTCCAAGGAGATATGCGCTCGCTGATCGTTTCAATTCACGGTTAGGTTATTTTATGAAGTCAATTAATTGGAAGCGTTTTTACGTTCATTATTATTCTTAGTTTTGAAACTTGTAATGACCGCTTGCGTTTCTTTATGTTCTGATATAACCATAGCATTTCATACTTTTGAAATTGTACTCAATGCAAGTATAAAAATGTCTGTTTTTATTTGAACAGGTGGTTCTGCCATTTTGACGATGACAACTACGTGAACATACCTCGTTTGGTTACTGTCCTGCAAAGATACGATCACCGACTAGACTGGTACTTGGGCAGACAGTCTGTAAACAGGCCTGTTTACGTAAACTACCAAAAAAAGGTAATTATTTATTTTCCTTAATATGGTTAGAGATAGAAAATCTGCTAAGAGAAAATCCTGAACGAAATCGTAGAAATATACATTTTATTTTCAGATATTATTGTACTAAAGAGTTATTATTATAATTTAATAATTATTAATTTCATTCACTTATAGTGTGATAAACGTAATAATGGCATTATTTATTTTGTTGCAGAAAATTTTATATTTTAGATTCGGCACTGGAGGTGCTGGTTATTGTATAAGCAGGAGTTTGGCTTTGAAGATGTCACCTATTGCAAGGTGAGTGAATGTTTTTTTATTATGAAAATCAGGACAACTTCTAACTGTTTTAGAAGAATTTTATCTATATAATGTTTGAATCCGGATTCTTACAGGCACTTTGTCAATGTGTGAATGAGTTATTAGTCCCATAGAACCTAATTGAAAACATTCATGTGCTATTAATGAAGTGAGAATTTCGAAATTGATAAAAACTTTGATACTTACTACATGAAAGGTAAATATTTTTAAATAAAAGTTAATTGTACACACGGCTACACATCGAGCTTTACATAACCAGTATAAACTGAACGTTAAATGTGCGGAAAGATGATGCGACGCGATACCAGGATAAACTGGTTTTGTATAGATTGATGTGTGGCCGTGTATACGTATACTTATTTAAGGTATTTGTTTCAGTGGTGGCAGATTCATGAGTGTCTGTGAAGGCATAAGAATGCCTGATGACGTCGCTATAGGCTTCGTCATAGGTAAGAGAAACTTTAATTGATTGTATTTAATTTATTTGTATGTAAAATTATATTACTGTATAAATAGGTACCTACTTTAAATGTCTTACACAATACATAGGAAGAACTACGGTCCAAAATTAGTAACGTAGGCGAAACCGGTGCTAGATACAAATATAAGATACTATCTACTCCCGGGTATTTATTTATTTATTCATATTGCACAATGTACATATATAACTATTTCTTAGAGCTATAACTATACCTATATAATAACTATTTTATAGTTTTTTTTTTCAATCTTTATTTAGAGGATTTAATCACATGGTGATTTGCACCCGCTACTCGGTTCTTGTTAATTGTAGCGTGATGTTTTATAGTATAAGTCACTCTCCATCCCTTCACCCATCTCCACCCAAAGAAAATCTCGTTAATTCGTCACTCCGTTTTGTCAGGAAAGGCGTACAATCAAACAAACACGCACCTATAGATAATTCAAAGTTATTTTTTCTTTTCAGAGCAACTACTTAAAGTTAACATCACGGAGGTGCCCGAGTTCCATTCTCATTTAGAGCAAATGAAGTTGCTGCCACTGAACAAATTGCGAGATCAAATCTCGTTTGGTTTCTTTTGGAAGAAGAATTATAAAGATACAGTTAATGCTGTTAATGTACCAGGATTCAGTGCAAGATATGATCCTACTAGGTAAGCAGGTCCTATACTGTTTTATTTGGAACTAGCTTTTACCCGCGGCTTCGCTCGCGTCACAAAAGGAAATCAATTTTTTCTGGGATAAAAAGTACCCCATTATTTAATCCAGACTTCTAACTATACGTATTCAAAAATTCAAAGCAATAGGTTTAGTAGTTACGGCGTGAAAGCGGAACAAACAAACAAACTCACTTTCCGATTTATAATATTAGTAAGGATAAGGATTACCATCAGTTTTCTATTGTCTTTTTATATTTACGATTGTTGACTTTGATTATGTCTCTTGTCAATGATAATTGTCGATTTCAAATTTATTTAAAACTTACACGGCCGTGTCTGCTAGTGTGGTTGCAAGTGGGACTGCTGAGCTGAAACTCTGGTTGGCTAAAGCACTTTTATTCTAATAACAACTCTGCTGTCCTCTTTAGGGAAAATGATTCATGGTAAATATTTTCTTTGTTTCAGGTTCCTGTCACTACATTGTTTCTTATTTCCCTACTTCCAGTTCTGCAAACTCATTAGAAGATGAAATTATTTAGATTCTTTATAGGTCTTAAATTTTAACGAAACATCAAAATTAAATCTTCCATAGAACTTAACGTGCAATATATAAAGTTCATATTCGTATCAAAAAATTAAATTAAAAATGTTTATTTTATTACTTTGTTGACGATTTTATTAAGAAAAGAATGTGGGAGTTAAAAATGAATGAATCTTGTGATCGCAGAAAGGGTGCACAAATTAGAAAGTTGTACAATCGACAAATTTGATTTCTGACCTACCATAAACTTAAGTATTTTATCCTGAAATACATAAACACTTCTCGATTTTAAGTCGATATAGTTCTGTCTCTACAAATTCTTTGTAAAATGACAGAGATGGCACTATATTTAAGTGCAACCTAAAATTGAGTAACCTTTCAGTATTCTGGCGTTATACCGACATATTTTATACAGACTACCTCGTTAGCCAAGTGGTCGCAAGTGCGACTCAAGGCAAGGGGTCTCGAGTTCTATTCCCGGGTCGGCTAAAGTATTAATGGGTTTTAAAAAAAAATCTCAGTAGTGACACGGAGCCTGGATTTGTGCCCGGTATATGACAATAGGCTCAAGCCCTATTACATGACATAAATAGTGAAAAGTGGGTGTAACATTGTACAGTGGCATTAAATTACGTAATGTGCACCTCTGCCTACCGCGTCGGGGATACAAAGGCGTGATGTTATGTTACATATGTTATATATATAGACTTTGGATGTTTGTTATTTTTGCAATTTGTTTTCAAAGTGGGTCCCGATCTCAATTTGTTGATTGTACATATTATATCGATACATGCAAATGTCTATAAGAAAACTGTGATATTAGAATATTTACGTGTTTAATTATAATTATAAAATTACAGTCAAGTGTTGACCTGAAATTGTTTGATAATGACGTTGTTTATATAATATAAAAATTTAAATATTTATTTTTGTAGTTTTACTGTACCTTCTTTATGTATTTGTTTCTTGTTGTAAAAATCTAATGACTTTTGAAAGGTAAATTTTCACATACCACAAAACAATGAATATTGAAACATTATTCAAGAATCTTTAGACTAGTTCGTTTTAAAAAGAAATTCAAACAGGAACAGATTGATGCCGCTGGAAATGTTTTAACGTAAGTGCCTACATATATAAAAATAAATAATATTACTCGTAATTTAATCCATCATTAAAATTAAATATAGTATGTTCTGGCTTTGCAAATCTGCATGAATGCACCGATTACCTTACATGGTGACCGCGACAGCATGATCATGGAATGTAGGGTGATTGTACAGCGGCCAGCACATCAACCTACTCCATTTTTGTCATTGGATTTTCGACTGTATATTTAAACGATAGAGTTGAAAATCGTATAGTAATTTGATAGAAAAGAGTAGGATGACCTGCTGCCCACTGTACCATAGATGCGCTGTGGTCAACCGCGGCGATATGGTGATACGCATTATCGTAATCATAATAATATTAGTCCGGTTTTTACCTGTGTCTGCAAAACCGGTACTCGACGAGTTAACTCGTCGAGCACCGTCAATATAGACACAATTAAAGAACAATAGGTTGCGGTCACCGGTGACCGCTTGGTGTTTGACAGTTTAAGTTACATGATTGGCTGTCGATTGAGACACACAAGCTCAATTGAAGACAACGGATTACTCAACAACATGTCCCAAATTAGAGTCCCGTTTTGATTTGAAACTAGTCGAGATTTTCTCTGTCATTTAGGTGTGTGAGTACACCATTGTTTTCAATTAAAACGTCGCAGATCTTCAGACACCTTCCACGCACCATCACCAATCACACATAAGTAGAAAACATTTCAACAATATTATTGTCTAGATTATATACGTAGTACTGTGTCCGCATTTGACTTACACTCCAAACCAGCTCATGACAAAATTACCTTGTTAACGATCCATGGTACCCAAACAGACATTTGAATAGATTATTCAATATCCCAGTAAACTTAAATGGGTTTAAACTAACACCTTGAAATGTCAAACCTCTAGTTTTATCGGTGCAATGCCTCAATGGACTGTAAATGGGTATCAGGTAACAGTATTTATCGCCTAACCATCTTATATGGTATACCCTAATGTGTTATTTTGAATGTAAGGATTTAGAATTTCAAAAAGGGATGTTTTTTAAGATGCTGTTTTTTTGGATTGTGAATATTGTGATTCTAAAAGAAACTTAAGTCTGAGGTGTACTTTTTTACCATTCATTAGAAAAAAGACGAATAATATTAAATAGTTTATGAACATTAAAAATATAATTATTCTGTCAGTTGAATAGTGAAAAAATATGTTACTTATTAATATATTTTGTCGTATAAGAAAACAATACTTAAACAAATCGGAGTTAAACTTAGAAGTGGAGAGGCTGATGAGGTAAAGACAAAAGCGTTGTGCAGCTGTACCCAAATTCTATTTAGCTTGTCTTTAAATAGAGTAGAAAATTAAATTACCTATAATATGGGATTGACGTAAATTTTGACACTTGTCACTTGTAAGTGATTCCCATTCCCATAGATTGAGTTTTTCTACTCGAATAATAGGGTCGTTACCTCACCCTACCCTATAAAATGTAGTAAATCATGGCGGCACATGATATTTCAAATCAATACATTCAAAATATTATCAAAGCGTTTAATTTTGTAAGAAAAGAAAAAATAAGTGTCTAATGTTTTAAAATAATCTACCAGACGGGCATTAATATAAAATTTAAGATATTACACTATTTTTAAGCCGTGTGCTGGAATTTTATGTAGGTATAGTTTACAATTAGGTTCATATGACGATAATGATGATGATACCTTATTATTTTTATCGAAAATATTTTTTTTTCTATTTTAATGAAGTTGAATCTTCGTATCTGAACATACATACATAACTTCACGCCTGTCTCCCATGGGGGTAGGCAGCATTCCTACCAGCATACCGCTTTCGCTTCATAAACAGTCTTCTTCATGTCGGAACAGAATAATGTAAATGAATTACCACATACCTATAGATGAAGAGAGAATTCACAACTGGGCACAAATATGTAGTGTGAACTCACCTTTGCGTATTCCACCGATTAAGGCATGCAGATACAACAAAATCGACCTGTTAAAAATCTAAAGAACCAATGTCGTGAGAACAACTTTAGCAGTTTAAAATTTTCGTCAGCATCATTTCCTCAAAAGTAGTACGAATGATTAATTAAATTGATTGACATGCTCCATTCGTCCCGCATTGGAGGGTCTTGGCTTCCCTTTGGTAGCACCTGGTCTTGAATTCTTCGATACTGCGCAGTCACTTCACGTAATTGGGTCCGTAATTTGTTCTGGTGCAACAATCGGAAACCTTGACTCGATTAAGAATTTAAACCGATTATTATAACCTTATTCGGATGTTCTTTCTTCTCGATTATTTTGAATTGAAGTTTGATTATGCATGCTGTTTAGGATCTTAGGTACCTGAACTAAAGACAATGCATGTTTCATCGAATTTCAAAATACTAATAATGAAAACCAATAACTACATTTCTGTTGTCCCTCTTTTGCTATAACTACCAACCATTCCCGGGGGCCCGGTTTGGCGAGTAATTTTTACATAATAATTACATTGTTTCGGCAGGTGCCATAGTCAACCGGGGAATGTCCTTGGGTCCATTATCATAGTGCATACAGGGATAGTCGGCAGTTTGTGTTCCATTTTATTTAAATCAAAATTGGCTTTGGCCCCTCGTATGCTTCCCAAATGACCAGGGCCTTATGGTCCCGCGATTGGTAAAAAAAAACAATAAATGTCCGATATGTCTGACTGGGTTCAAATTCGGATTTAACAACGAATACTTACTCAGAAAATAATATATAACTAGAAGCTTCAACTTGAAAAAAGCGATGAAAACCATCAAACGAACAACACTAACAGTTAAAAACCTTATTTTGTTTATCAACTTACTGTAGATAAATGTAGATATTTAGTATTAAATGGTCCAAAGGTTTTAACGAGCGATGAAAGAAATGTCATAATTTTCTCCATACGAAAGCACTTAACGCTGAGACCCCAAAATTCTCGAAATCTCTTTACGTATACTCTTTAAACTTTCGAATGTGCTTTTGTACTCAAAACAGTTCGATTAAACAGAACTCGTCGAATTAATGGGTTTGTATCAACATAATTAAGCTTTCAAAGAGTACCGATTGTCCTATACGACAGAGATTGTCAAAATTTTTCTTAGTTTGTGATCTATATAAGGATATGCAGTACCTATGAACCTTTGTTTTGTTATATTTTTTCCTGTGTATTGTATGTATAGTTTGTGTAGGTACATATTTTATTTTATTGCTTGATAACTTAATTTAAAAAAAATGTATTTTTATTTGGATTATTGATGACATTCCAATGTTTTATCTTTAAACGGAAAGGTTAGGTATTATGTACTGATAATTCAAATATTTTAGTCCATCTAAGAAAAGGCTGCGTTGTACAATCGTAAAACTATAAAATACTCATAGTTTTCGTCTTAGTTAGGGCACTTTGTCCTAACTTACGTGACCGTAAAAATGAATCATTGTCAAGTATGTCACTATTAATCCATAATTTTGAGTTTTTTTTTTTAATGGGACAAGCCCGCCACAACCTCCCAAAACCGCTGCAACTCCTGTAAGCCAGGATCTACAGTAGATACAACCATGAAAACACCGGAACACTGAAGTCCGGCGCGTCCCAGGGACATGAGTAACTGTCTTGGTTGGTATAATTTTGAGTTACTGAAAAATTTTAAAGAGGAGTATTCTTTGGATTCCTCCTATCGCTCTTATTACTTAGGTACTTACATATTAGGTGTGACTGAACCCCACATAACATACTTTGAGAACCACAGTCTAGACCATTAGTTTAAAATTGACACTCAATTAAAAAATGGGATCCATTTGTTTTGTTTAATTTGGTCTTATTGGCTTCGATTTCATTTAAGGCAGTCCTGTTTTTAATCAGAATCAGTAATTTAATTTAAGAATTAGTCATTGGTTAACATTTCTTGGAATCTGGCTCTTATGTTAATTTTCAGAACTGTGATATAGAATCATTTTCTTCATATACTGTTAATTATAAAGGCGGATTTGAGGAACAAAGCTATCTTACCGAAAATTAAGAGGAAGCTGTTGCACATCTTTCGGCAACTGATAGCAATTTATTGGATATACCTCTAGATAGACACGTGGAATCTACAATTAAGTAAAAAAGAACCGAAGCACAATATTCTCAAATTAGGTACTATTTAAAAGTATAATAGGAATGATATAATATGACTGCTTCGTTGGCCGAGTGGTCGCAAGAGGTCTCGGGTTCGATTCCCGGGTCGGGCAAAGTATTACTGGGTTTTTAAAAAAAATCTCATTAGTAGCACGGAGTCTGGAATTGTGCCCGGTATATGGCAATAGGCTCACCCCCTATTACATATGACTCCTAACATAAATAGTGAAAAGTGGTAACACGTGTGTATAATATA